GGGGGGGGGGTAAGGCCTGTGTGATGCACCTGTTGCTGCTAATGACCGTCAGTAGTAAAGTAAAGCTCCTTTAGCCTCAACCTCCTAGCAGAATCTAGTAAATGTTTAATTTTAAATTGAGATTTAACAAGACTGTTGAATAGATTATAGGCCGGTGTTAACCCGACTCTTTAGTTGGAGAACCTGAGAACAAACCAGAGTGGATAAAAGTATAAAAATGACATTTATTAGGTCACAGTTAAGTGTATCAGCTGGGCTCTGACAGACAAAAAACTCTCTCTGGGTCTCAGTGGGCAAAGAGCCCTGAGGTCTGGGTGATGGGCATTATCTCCTGGGCTCCATCCGCCTCCTCAAAGGAGGACTGGACACAACCAAGTCCTATTGGCCAGTTACCTCTGGGCATGAACAGGCCAGGTCCTAATTCATGCAGATGACAGGAATGTGCTATCAAATGGTGTCTGTGTGTGTGTGTGTGTGTGTGTGTTGACCTAAAGCTGGATCTAACGCATCAGAGAAAGAAAAAGAGAGAAGAGAGAGTATGTGGACACAGCCAGAGACACAAAATATAATTATAAAAGAAAATAAAACAATCAGTAATCTACATAGATCATGCGATAGCAAACAATGCTAAAGTGAGTATTTATAGCCAAATCCTAACAGGGGGCTGTTTTTCCAGAGCTATTGGGTCTGGACTGAGCATCCCCCGGGTGCCCCTTCTCCCCTTTAGGTCAGCACAAACACCATTTGTTACCACATTCCTGTCATCTGCATGAATTAGGACCTGGCCTGTTCATGCCCAGAGGTAACTGGCCAATAGGACTCAGTTATGTCCAGTCCTCCTGTTAGAATCTGGCTATAAATACTCACTTTAGCATTGTATGCTATCACATGATCTATGTTAATTACTGATTGTTTTATTTCCTTATAGAACTATAGTTTGTGTTTTTTATTTTCTTTTATAACTGCTGTGTATGTGTTGCCCTAAAGGAGGATCTAATGCAACAGAGAGAGAAAAAGAGGGAAAGGAGAGTCTGTGGACATAGCCAGAGACTTTAACACAAATATTTAGTTATAAAAAAGATTAAATAATCAGTAATCTACATGGATCATGTGATAGCATACAATGCCAAAGTGAGTAATTATAGCCAAATTTTAACAGAACATACAACAGATATGTAAATCTGCCACACCGACATTTCCAAACTGACTAACTGGCCTACAGTTATCTAGTTTGGAAATCAGAATCAGAAATACTTTAATAATCCAAGACGGAAATTATTTTAAAAAGTTTAAAAAAAAAAGAAAATACTATCATACTGACACGTTTTAGGTAGGAGGCTGGATGTCACCTTCTCCGAAGAGGCCACTTTAACCATAGTTCTGTGAGCCAGATTCTGTAGTTTGAAACCTGAGAACAAACCAGAGTGGATCAAAAGTACAAAAATGACATTTAAATATTCATATATATTATATCCATCCATCCATCCATTATCAATACCGCTTATTCCCTCATGGGGTCGCGGTCAACGGGCGAGAGGCAGGGTACACCCTGGACAGTCCGCCAGTCCATCGCAGGGCCACACAGAGACACACAAGGACAAACAACCACTCACACTCACATTCACTCCTAAGGGCAATTTCCCCAATCTCCAATCAACCTAACATGCAGGTTGTTGGAGGGTGGGAGGAAGCCGGAGAACCCGGAGAGAACCCACAGACACAGGAGAACATGCAGAACCACCCAGAA